AAGGTACATGTGATATGTGAGAACATGGTTTAGCTTTTTAATTTCCTTGCTGGCACTCCTGTAGGAGTATTTTACATTGGTGAAAAATGATAATCTATTAAGATTTCTACTATGTGGTTTTTTTATTTAGTGGAAATCTCTTGCCTCCTTTTGTCACAAATATCAGTTTTATTGTTGTCTCCACACTTTCCCACTCTGATGCATTACCATCCTGATCACCACTTCTTTTGTCCTTAGCCAGCTAATGAATGATCAAAGCCTTTCAGTATTTCACTGACTGCTGTTGCAGGAATCATCTGTGTTATTAAATTAGAGGCAGTGAAAATTTTACTTGTACCTTTATAAAAACTATTGGATTTAAAGATTAGCATCAAACTTTGTGCTCTTTTTAAATATTAATGTAAAATGTTTCTCAGCCTCCCATGGAACAAATTACTAAATTAAAGGCTGTTTCTCTAAACTTGTATGGTGGGGATGCTAGCAAAGAAAAACAATTAAGGCTGAAAACTTTTTCTCTGGAGATGAGCTAGGCTTTTTTTGCATGCTGTTGAGAATACAGTGATTTCAGAAGATAATTGCCTACAGCTTAGCCATAGGCTACATTTTCAGCACACTGCACAGGGATTTATGTGCATTATTCCCAAAACAACTGTGGGAATTGTGTGTGTATATCTCAAGGCTCCAAATATAATTCTAATGTGAATGTTGTGCTTAACAGACCTTCCTCTTCAGATGCAATTCATCAAGCCTTAGAATAGCTTGAAATGTTTCAGTGACCAAACACTGCAAGGTGCAATAACAATTTATTGCTGGTTGATGCCTTTTTTTGAAGTGACTGCTTAGATAAAAAAAGAAAAGAAGAAAAAAATACAAAGCCAATGAAAATACAAATATGCCACCCAGTGAATGATATGTTGTACTCTGTTTACTTTTTCCTGAAACATAAAAAATGTAGGGACAAGAGAAGGTCTTACAGTTATCAAAAAAAACTTCATCAGAACAAGGTAGATAGATGGATAGATAGATAGATATGCAAATAAAAATACTCATATGTGCCTACTGAATCTGTATGTGTTGAGTTTGGATAGAGGGCAATACCACTACTGCAGCAAAATAACCCATATAAAATTAGTGTGCTATCTGATCCAGATCAGATAGTGTAGATAAAGGATAGCCTTGTTTTTAGTGTTGCTTGTATAAAGACTATTCTATATAGTAGTCTGGAAAAGCAAGTGGTTATGAGGCATTTCTCAATTTGTTACCAGTACCAAGTCATATCCTGTAACAACTTTTTACTTTAGAAATAAGTTATTTAAATTTATGCTTGTCCTCCTAGGAATTAATGCACAAAATGCAGCTCGATACACGCTCATTCTTATAAGGTTACAGCATCTTGGCTGCCAGTAAATCCATTTTTAACTATGTCTACTATGAAGTTGTCTATTTGTCTCATTGTGTGCCTCATGAATACTTGTAAATTTCCTTGTCTTTCTCTGTCATTGAATCATTTAGATCAAACACTCTGTGTGTTCTGCATCAAAGGACAAAAAGTGCCAAAGTTATGGAAAATTATTTTTTCATCTTTGTCGTTTTCTGTTCTCCACATAATTAATTCTTG